GCCTTGGGAAATCGGGCAGCTCCCTGGCGAGCGAGTGCGGAGTGACCAGGCAGTTCTGCTCTGTCAAATGCTGTGCAAACGGGCCGTGATTATTTGTCTGTGTTGAAATCCTGATGAGTCCGCTACTGCCGAAACCAAACTCACCCGTTTCCTTTTTTTTTCTCTTTTCTTTCCAGTTTGACAAGTACGCTCCCAAATTAGACAACCCTTACTTTCGACATTCCAACGTGAGTGCTTACCTTTCTAGGTGGTGTCTTTGTTAATGGTTCTGCTTGCACTTCTTTTGCTTGTTTTCAATTGATCAATGGTGTTTTGATTCATTCATTCCTAAAGCTCTTTTTCCGTCTTGATATTTAAATTTTTTTAAGGTACAAAATTTTCTTTGGGCTTTTTTTTTTTTTTTTTTTTTTTATTTTTTTTTATTGCTGCTGCGGCTCTATATTGCTGTGCCTGGGTTGGCAGGGAATGCGCAGAAATTGCTGTATCAGTGGTCATTGCAGAATCTTTGCAGCTGGTGCTTCTCACAGTGCAGCAGCCCGGAGTGCATGGCTCTTTCACAAGATTTTGCTCAGGTCACAGGAGTAAGTCAGACTGGTGGTTTCTTCCTGGTGCTCCCCGCTGCTCCAAAGCACAAAACCGACACGTTTTGGGACTTGCAAAAATGCTGTATGTGCTCAGGAGAGGCCTAAGCAAAACTTAACCCAAGCTACACAACTACAAGGTGGTGTGCATGTTGCCTGTGGTTAGTGTGCAATGCAGCATCTTGTGGTTCTTTTTTGCTTTGAAAATTAAAGCAGGTCACGTTTCAAAACAGGATCAATTTGTTTGCTACTGCAGAACAATGCAAAGTTAACCAAAAGTGAACATAAAACCCAAATTATTCCGATTCCTCTAAGAATGGTGAATGCTCTGTGCTTCCTGCAATAGTCCTCAAATTTTAAAGGCACACTTGTTCAGCACTATCCAGAAAATTTGGCGGATGAGCGCATTTTCCACGTTTTGGCTTTGCTCTTAAAAATTTTGAAAGCAAATTTAGTGTGTATTTTCACTGTGGCACTCGTTCAGCACAGTACTATTTTTATATGTGCCAGGCTTGGCACCTACCTCCATTATTGTTCAAGTTGTCCTGTGACATAAGCATCTCTCTTTCTTTTGTAGTTCTTTCCAACCTATCCTCCAGCAATGCCTGGAATGCCACCCATGCTTCCACATTCAGGTCCCTTTGGGTCACTTCAGGGAGCATTTCAACCGAAGGTACAAACTTCTTCTTATGAAGGCTTTGTTCTTTTGCTGGGAGAGAAACTGTATTCAGAGTCGCGTCTCTGGTGATTTAGCAGCACACGAATTAACTAGCAGACGTGCAGCGCAGGGTTGGAAGCGATCACCCCGCAGATCTGTGAGCATCCTCTGCACAAAGCAGCCAACACTTTAGCAGAAATTTTCTCTTGGCACTAGAGATCGTTCCTTGGAAAAAGGATATAGCGGTTCACTTGGGAGGTCAACTGAAACTGGAGGAGAAGCGTACAGTCAAACGCATTACTTGATTGAAATATTTACAGCTAATAAGAGACCGATGAGTCGCAAATCATTTTATAACTTTAACGGTCTGAGATTGCAAAAGATAAACTGTGTTTATTCCCAGGAAAAAGATGAGGAATTGACTGTGCAAGTGTGGGAACAATAGGGAGAGACTGCTGTAAATGGGTAGAGCAGTTTGAAGGAGCTGAATTTTTATTCCCAGCTCCAACACTGTCTGACCTTGGGCAAGTCGCTTAAATCTTCTCTTCCTCAGCTTCCTCATCTATAAAGTTATCTTGCAGTGGGTTTTATAAGGGTTGATTAATGCCTGCAAGCTTCTTTGAGATGGTGTGTTTGAAAGGTGCACTGCAGCTGTAACGTATCATTACAACTAGCACTGATTGGCATTTGGAAACGTTGCCATGATAACCACCGTTTTTGACGAATTCTGTGGTGTGCGCTGCTTTTTTTTTTTCCTCCCAGACTTCTTGTTCTTATTAACTCTTTTTAAAGGTACAGAAACTGTTAAATCCCCCCAAACAAGATGCGATATATCCACGTAGCGTTTGTTTGAAAATGGAGCATTTGCTCCATTTGTAAGGTGACGTGTTTAGCCTCCTTACGTACTGTGACTTTGGAGATTTCTGACCTTGAACAGCATTTCCATAGAGCTCTGCTGCTGGGTTAGAAGACTTGAAGGAGCAGCACTGTAGCCAGCCCGTTTCTCTTTGCGTTTGGAAGGTCGTTCCCATAACCATACCGAGCAGGGCTGTGGGCTGCGCTTCCCTCGGCAGTCTCGCCGGCGTCGGTGGAAGTCAGTAATTAGCAGCTGCTGCAAATAAGGCCTCTTACAACCTTCCCACTTAACTTAATTTCTTTAATGGAAGCTGGAGTATTTCCTCAGTGCCCATCGAATCGCTTACGTTATTTTATTTTCTGGGTACATTACAAACAGCGAAGTCTCCGAAACGGCTTTTTCCAGCCAGAGTTCTGTCTGTAGTGGCTGCAGGCGCAGAAGAGGAGCGGTTGCGTCTGAGCAGAGGGAGCGACAGGGCCAGAACACAGCCGTGCCTTGTGGAGTTTGCCCGCCAGTGTTAGCTGTTGCTGTTCTCGCAAGGGATGCCAGGGCATCCCTACAGACCCCAAGCTGTCAGGGCGCGAACGTGACTTTCCAAGAAAAGGAGCTGCGCAAATAAGGTGGAATTGGCAAAATGCTGCTGATGTGAAGATAGGGTTCAGTTTTGCCGTACGGCTACTGTTACTGAGGAGCTTCTGATACACCGATAGCATGCTCTTCAGGTTTCCGTCTTCATTACGGAGCTTTATAGATACCATCTCACTGTAAAATACCATTAGACCAAAGAGACGCGGTTACAACGCGAGAAAGAAAAAGTGAGCACAGACCCTTTACATTTTTAAACAGTTCTTAGTGCTGTATTATAACTAGCTTTTAATTCATTTTAATGATAGATACAGAGAACGTTTGCTAGCTTGAGTTTAAGCGGCGCAAGGTCACACTCTGGTGCCATGGTTAATCACCAACATCACTTGATCTCTGGACGGTGCTGTATTTACATGCAGGCTAACATCTGAAAAAAAGAGGGATAGGTTGAAAAATGGATCTGCCGCTTTGGCACATTATTTTGCAGTTTCCTAGAGGAGACAGAGCTGAACTGCTGGGCGAAGCCACTCCAGTTGTCATTACTGCATCGTTTTTCCATGCTCTCTCCCTCCCAAGCTGTTTGACTAAAGCCTTCATAATCGCTGCAGACCCGATGATTTGGTTTTGGCACACTGAATCCTGCACTTCTTGCTTTCCAAAGCAGAGGTCTTGGTTTTGTTTTTCCCCTTCCCGTGTCAGTTGCCTACAGCTGTGCGTGTAAATCCACCGCACATAAATCCAGGCTGACGGTAAACTTCTCAGTGAGTTTCCCGAAGGCCGTTTCTCACAAGCTAAGAACTTGAAAAGGTCAGAAGTATTCAGTTTACTTTGCTGGAGGAAGCATTCACATCTTTCTCCAGGCGACAAAGGGACAGGATGACACCATGCTATTAACATGTTGTGATCTTAAAGCTCTTGCCTGTATGATAGCTGTAACTTATTTGCCACCTTATATATACCTCAGCTGTCAGACAGGCCCTGAGAGCACCGATCTGCCCGGGGAGTTCGTTCACTTACCTACACACACACGAGAATTCTCTTTTTAATGAGTCTGGAAGTTACGTAGCCTTAGACAAATTAAAACCTATCTTTCCTCCCACACCCTTGATTCTGCTCATTCCTCGTGCAGTTCGACTGCTTGAAATCTACTGTAATTTGACCTAAAATGCGAGTGAAACAATCTCTTGGGGAATGAGGTGTAACCCCTCTGCACTCAGCTGTGCGGAGGCACCAGGTGCAGTTGCTCTGGGAGTGGGAGATGGATGAATGCCAGAGTGAGAAGACGAACGAGTTCTTGGGGATCGTCTCGGACAGGGCAACAGGTGGGATCCGGAGGAGGAGGAGGAACAGGGATTCATTCGATGAGGTGTTTAATTCTTGCTGCAAAATGATGGGATAAACAATGCAAAGCTATAAAAGACCCACAAGCACCTTCTAAGGTTTCTCATTTTGCCTTGTCGAAGCAAATAGATGGGCTGTTGCCATTCTAGCCGTGGCGTTATCTAGCCCCAGACGGAGAGGGGCCGTGGTCCAGCCGGTGGAATATGGGACTAGGGTGCTTGAGTTGTTCTGTTCCTGACTGCTATACTGGTTGCTGCCTGAAACACGGAGGGAGTCGGGAGTCGGTCCGCCTCTCTCATTCTCTCTCCTACTGCCTGCCTGTTTTGTCGAAAGAATAAGCTTGGGGGGCAGGGACTGTCTCTTCCCATCCACTCGCATACCGCATAACACAACGGGGTTGTGATTTCAGCGGGGCTTAGGGGTGCTGCTGTAATACTATTACTGCTGCTAAATAATAATAGATGACATGGTGGGTAAATGCTGTTGGCTGTCAGTAAGAGATAACATTTAGCACTAATGTAGCAATATGCGTGTTCAAAGCACAGTACAAACATGGACTAATTAATGCCGTTAACATCAGATAGAGATGTTAAATGTACCGCTGGTATGACACAGTATTATTCATGCTCTATTCTTGTCTTTCAGACTTCAAACCCTATTGATGTAGCAGGTAGACCAGGCACAGTCCACCATACGCTGCTGCAGAAGACTCCAGGGGTAGGCAACAATATATAACCTTCCTTTCAGCTTATCTGGATTTACAGTAAACACAGTGATTGCTCATAAAAAAAAAAAAAAGAGCAGCTGGTGGGCAAATTTGCCTTCTAGACTCGGAAGGTGCAGTCAGGACAGAAGTTTCTTTTTCTGGTGAGACAACAGTAGCCTCCACCAGTCGTGAATACAAAGGGACGTATTGACTTCTTTAAACAAAGTCAGAGGGAAACGGGGCAGGAAACCCCTTCAAGGTCTTTCCCCTAAGCATTGCTTGGAGAGTAGTTTTATGCGCTCCATTTGAGAACGATTAATAAGGTTCAGAAAAGCACTAAACTGTTCAGTTGCTGGCATGAAGCTGCTTTGTTTATCATAAAATTCTGCTGAGTTTGGTGCAAGGAATGAAAGAGAAGTTTTAAGCCTTCTTTAAGCCTTTTAGGTTTCCCGTGCCACAGGGGACTTCTCTGGAACATTGCTTTCTAAATGCTTTTACTTGTTCAGAGGAAGGAAGTTCCCCACCTTTCTGTATATTGGCTAGTTTTAGAAAGACTCATTGTTTTATTTCTGCTTTTTCCATAGGTGTCAGACCCTTATAGGCCTCCAGTAAGAGTAAGTAAGGTTTGTGGGGGATTTTATATACATATATACACGCACACATAGAAACACGCGCTTCAAATATTGTGGATCGGTTTTTGAAATTTAACATGTCCAGCAGAAAATTTCACACTCATCCTTTACTTAAAGGAAAATGTCATAGTTAGCTCTTAGCTGCTTCTGATTAATAACGTTTAGGTTGAATCCCAACCTTCTTTCGCATCCATTTATGTGCGTTAATAGTTCACAGTATGAAATAAGGGACACAGAAATAAATGACTGTGAGCACGGACAGGCATTCACCAGCGATCGGATTCATGGTGGCTTAGGTCAACGTCTTTTATTATTTGTGCTTCTGATGTTCCACAAAAACACGCTACAGTGAGTACCGCAGCTCAGCTGAAAAACAGTAACTCGTTCAGCTGTGGCGCTGCTCATCCCTGGTGATTGTTCGTCCGTACCCTCTTCCTCCCCAAATGCAAGTAGCCACAATAACCACGCGTGCCTTAGCCCGCCGTGCAGCAGGGATGAATGGACAGGGCTCTTTTCAGAAACAGAACTGTTAACTATTAGCTGCTTTCTCTCAAGCATGGCATGCTGTTCTTTGCTGCCATGTATTTTGGTTTACGAAGCGGGGAGTGCGAGTAGGATATGAGGAAGATCCTCCATGATATGAGGAAGATATCCCACATCCCACATTCTTCCTGTTTGTTTCCTTCTTAATTTAAACATCATCTGCTGCAGTGCAGAAAAAGATGTTGATCACCTATTGTGCCATTTCAGTAATCAGCCTTTCTCATTGCTTAGCTGCCTGTTTGACAGTAAGGGAAATGAAACGTTCTATCTGATGTAGATTGCTAACGTATAAATTAATCTAAATTCTTGTGCTTTCCATTGCAGAAACCCGGGAAGTGGTGTGCGGTTCATGTACAGATCGCCTGGCAGATCTACCATCACCAGCAAAAGATAAAGGTAATTCAGACAGTTCCTGGAACAAAGCCAAGTCCTTTGGCTTACAGATTACGCTTTAGTGAGTAACGAGCAGGAAGCAGTTACTGTTGGCGATTCTCAAGCTTGCCTGTATTGATTAACTAACACTTTCAATCTTTTAACATTTATCGTAGCAACTGTAAAGTTTATCTGGGGGCAAAGGAGTTCAACTGAAGGGTAGCAAAATGAGCCAGAGATACTAAGTGCACAGCCAGAAAGAGGAGAAGAAAGGGGGGAGGAGGGTAATTTTGCCCCAGAATTTTTTACAGAAATTATTCTGCTTTTTTACAAAGCGTACGTGTTTAATGTCACTTCCCTTCTGTACTACTACCTCCTGTGGAACACAGAGCATTATCCCATTCGTAATAAAATGACCGATACGGTGAAGAACTTATTAGAAAACGTAGAGCAGGCGAGTACATTGATAGTTACTGTGTTCGAGGTTGTTGGGCTTTCTGCACGGCCGTGATGATGGGCAGAGGGGGGGCATTTAAAATTCAAGAGGTAGCAAGACGTAGGTACGCTGGGGTGCTGTTGCAGGCTCGAAGATCCCTCCGGCAGGCAGAATAGCTGGTAACAGGGCTTCCATAGCGTTCTATTTTTTCATAGCTCCTGCTGTAGTTTTTTTGTCCCATTAATGGAGACTATTCAGTGTTTAGGTAGGTGCACTGTAATTAGTGCCTCTACAGGTGGTGCATGTCCTTTTTTTTAAAATACATGTATATAATCTTTAAGCTATTGAGACTTACATGACTTAAATGACTTAGGTGCAGTTCTGACCGCGCTCACTTCTATAGGGGAAGGGTGAAAATAGCCTCTGGAGGAGCCTCATAGTTCTCTGTATCCTTCGCCCCCCGTCTGCATACTGAGCTATACTAGCTGCAGGAGGGGCACAGTCTAGGACCATCTCTCTCTTTCCAAACTGGAGAAGCAAAACAGACGAGTCTGTCGCCCAGCTCTCAAGACTTCAGTCGGCAGCTTTCCGCCTGCAGAGTATTTTTTGTCAGGCTGAGAGCGGCGGCTGATCCTGGGGTGCGGCGTGCTCAGTGTATCATGTTGCATGCTCCACTGTGTGTGCTGAGGGGCTGAGGGCTCGCTTCGGACCCTGTTCATGGGGATGAGGCAGGCAGCCGAGAGGCTGCGGAGCAAAATGGCCTTAGAGATGCTGTCAGAGCATGGCTGCGGTACGTGACCGGAGACGCTGCTGTCACTCTCGCTAACTCTCCCTGGCAGGGCTAAGCAGGAGCGAGCCTGATCTCCCTCTTTTTCTCCCATAAAAAAGGAAGTGTATAACGAGATTGTTTTTATATCGTTTGACAGCAAATGCAGCTGGATCCCCACAAGCTAGAGATAGGTGGTAAACTTGACCTGTTCAGCAGACCTCCCGCCCCTGGAGTGTTTCCAGGCTTCCATTATCCACAGGATCTTGCCAGGCCTCTGTTTTCTACCACAGGTAAGGCAAGATTGTCATTTGTTGGGGGGAAAAAAAAAAAGAAAAAAAAAACCCAAACAGTCGGTATATGTAACGTGTGTCCCCGCAGCTACGTGCGCCTCAAAAACTGAAGCAGGCAAGGTTGGTACAGAGGGGTGTGGAGGCACCGGCGACTGCGGCGACCGGGGCGCTCAGAGCCGCTGGGCTGGGCTCTGCCGCCGCCAGTGCGGGATGCTCTGCGCGTCACGGAGCTGCAGCAGTTGGCTCTCACATTCGTGTCTGTGCAGCTGGTTCTTATGTGCCTGATTAATAGGCTATGGAGTGATTTTTAAAAGCGATTTTGACAAAACACTTGAAACTGTTTCCATTGCAGAGGATTGGAAGTGGCCCCAGTCTCTTTTCTTGCTTTTATATTTGCCACGTTGTTCTTCTCAGCTCCTCCACTCACCAAGTTTCTGTTTGTTTTCTGAAAACAAGGGGGTTTTGTAAAAGGAAAACTTCAATAACAGCATTGAAAATATCACAGAAGGTGTATTTGTGAAGTGTTTGCGTTTTAAATATAAAATCCCCTTATGTGTTACAAAGTCCAGCAATCGCTAAGGCTTAAAATGGCATATTGAATTTAAAAAAAAATTACTTAAATACAGTTTACATTAATCAATTGCTTTCTAATCTGTGGAGAAGTAATTACAATTAATGCAATTACCGAAGTGCAGTAAGCTTCACTGCGCTCTTCTCGATGGCTCTGACCATGGGAGACTGCAACTTTGGCGTTCTGGTTTTGGAGGTCGCTGTGGATTCATGTGGATGTCCGCCTACCAAATGTTGGTTTTGTTCTGTTCCCAGGCTTAACTTTCCCCCTAGACTTCTTCAGATTTTCTTTCTGTGTTTGAGATGCTGAAGTCTGCCTTCTGAGTGAGCTGTATCAATTGATGAGATGTAACTTAGCTCTTGGTGTATGCAATTAATTGGCAAATAATGTAAATTTCTTTCCTAACTTCAGTTTTATGATGCAATATTGCGTGCTCATTCTAACTCAGTGCAGACTTGTTCATATTCAGCCTTGGTTCAACCCTGTTGAAATGAAGGAGGTTAGAAATGTTTTGAATTCTGTCCCCAACCTGACAGAAAAGCGACAGGTGAGGATCAAGCTGAAACCTCCGTGAGAGTTGCATTTCAAATGCAGATGTCGGATAGCCTTCAGGTACTCCACCAGTGGTTCAGTCTGTCTTTCCACCCTTACCTGTGGATGGAAATTGTTAAACATCAAATGCACGTTTCTGCCATGTAGGATCAGTGCTGATACTAGCTGTACATTGTAGGATGCTACCCTGATTTTTGGTCTCTGTAAAGGAACTTCGATAGTACGGGGCCAAGATACTTATTGCACCTGCTTGGATGCAAAAGCACAGCTTATTTACAAACCTGACTCTTTTCCTACGGCAGCTGTTTCCTTATCGCCATCCTCCTCTGTCCCGTGTTGTCATTACAAGAATCTTGTTTCATGTATGGTTTCGCTGCTGAAGGCTACATGGGGCAGAGTTTACCCTAACGGGCAGAAAAGCAGCAGGCCACTTGGTATCTTGAGCTTTTTCTCTTAACGATGCAAGCGTGGTTTGCTTTTCCATTCGTAAGAGCAAGAGGGGAAAGGTATGGAATAGAAACATTAAAGAAGGCAAATTAATAGAAAACTTTCACTACAGATAAACAACCTTACAGCAACTTGTCCATGAGTATATTAATCACAAGAGCCATCACACGGTAAATCTAGGTAAAGAGTGCTATCAAAGTGAACAAACATTGCAGCAGTAATATATAGATGAATAAATCTTTTACTCTGCAATATCCGAGGCATTCTTTTCACCTTATCGAACAAGCGTGCAGTTGACGTGAATCATTGGTTCTGCTGCATTGCCTAGTTACTGTGGGAGACATAAGTTATCTTAGGGCCACCTGTCTTCAGGACGGATGTTCGGCTGCCTGGCAGACGCTATATTTAATAACTACCTGACAGCCTGCAATGCCGCTCCTGGCTTTCTCCGGAGGATTTTTTATTATCAGCCCATGTAGTTGAGTTTGTAAGCCGTCTCCTTTGAAGAAATCTCCCATCCATTATACACCTTCTGAAATCTTAAAGGATTAGAGAGATGACAGTCTCCATCCGTCTTGAAGCATTGGAGCAGTCAGAATGTTTATAGATAACTCCAGGTCTCGTTGCCGTGGTCCCTCTTAAGTTTCCTCAACTCATTTTCTGGCTGCTTAGGTTTGTGGTGCCCAAGCTGGTGAGGGACACGCAGCGCTGTCTCCCTCTGGTTTTATAGTCTGCTCATGTTCTGGACACAGGAGTGTGTTTTACAACCATCTGGTATTGGGCTCTGTCAGCGAGGAAGACCAGGTCAGGGACTGACCAGCACCTCCGTAAAACACTGTGTGGTCTTTGCTCGGGATGCAGCTTCTCCTGGGCATATTGATCTCTTCCCTCCATTCCCCCCACTTTTGCTGTGACCTGCCGTAGTGTTATCAGCACTGATGGTACACGGTGGAAACGTGCATTTGATGTGGCTTGGAGATGAGGGGCAGGAACTTACCAGAGCAGGTCTGCCACTGGTGGGAATAATTCCTATGGGCCACAGACGAGGCAGAAGGCTTTGTGGTGAAGGTGACAGGAGAGCTGGAGTGCCAGCTGGGAGGAGAAGCGTCATAATCCTCTTTTCTGTAATAGAAAGTTACCACTTGAGAAAGCAGTGACTGCGTGAGCGAGCTGTTAGTGAGTAGCCCATGTTCGTGCCCAGTGTGGCTGCTGCTGTTTGCTGGAGTTGACCCGTTACTTTTCCCAGTATTAAGGGAGGTTAACTTTTTACCAACAAAATACAGGGGACAAGCACTGAAGAGCTTTGTTTAGGTGTTGGTCTGTTTTGCACATGACTTAACATGTCCTCGGGAAAGTGCTGCTTCTGTCATTGCGTGGAATGACTAGTTTCTAACAAAATGAGACAGTTAATGCACAGGTATGGCAGGTCTTGCTTTCTGCAAGGGACTCTTTGCATCCAGGCAGCAGCTGGAAGTTATGATAGTTGCTAATTCTGCTTTGTCTGCAGTAGTGGAAGTACCGGCAGGGAGGAGGCACCGTAAGGACGTTCGCAGCCTGAACAGTGGGAGAGGGCTGCTTTTGCCACTGTAATACTGGGGCCGCAGAAACATTTTGTCGCACGCATCTGAAACATAAATATCCAAAGCTGATTCCAGGTGCATCCTGAAAATCATCTGTACTCATCTTAGGGGGTGAAAGCCAGGCCCGTGAGATTGCCCAAGCATACTGTCATGTGCAGGACGCAGGGGAGTTAATCTTCCTCCAGAAGCCGTGCGTCCCAGTGGCAGGTAGCACCAGTGCTTTTCACGCTGCGGTTACAAGCCTGGTCAGGCTCGCATGCGTCTGCCCGTGAAGCAGGCAAATCTCTCATTTTCTGCTCTGAAATGAGAGCAGAATTTTCTGCGTGAGCCTGGTCCGCCTTGACATACAGGGCAGACCAGCTTGTTTCAGCCCATTCGTGCCCCTTGCCTCAAGCTAGTGTAATCCAGCGTGCTCGGCAGCGGTGTTCCTTTCCCGCAAGGTAGCGTGGCACCGTGGCAACGAGCAGTGTCTAGGAGAGGGGAAAAAAATACCATGAGGGCAGCCCGTGGATGCGGAGACAGATGTGAGAGCGTAGATGGAGCTCTCATGGGAGAGGCATGATTGATGTTGCCTGCGTGCTTGTCATTAACTGGTGTTTCATATAGACTCTAATCAGTCACTTCCGAGCACCTTCTGTCTGGGCCCGTAACCTGGGCTGACCCTTTTTAATGTAAACACGGAGTAATGACTGAAAGCGCCAACAAGATTCCACTTCCTCGTTACCACCGGTGAGCGGGCAGCGCCCGGTGCAGGGTCTCTTCCTGGTGCCCACAAGAGTAATGACTGAAAGCGCCAACGAGATTCCACTTCCTCGTTACCACCGGTAAGCGGGCAGCGCCCGGTGCAGGGTCTCTTCCTGGTGCCCACAGACTCCTTTAAGGGCGCTCAGAGAAATCCTGCCTGCAGCTCGCTCGGCTGGTGTTTGGGGTCTTCCCCTGCCTCTGCGTCTGGTTCTTGGTGGATCAGGACCTCTGTGCATGCAAGCAGTCACTTGGCACTGAACTAAAAAGGGACCTTGTTCTCACAGGTGCGACGCATCCAGCAACCACCCCTTTTGGTCCTTCACCTCATCACAGCGGTTTCCTGCCTACTAACCACTTGGCAGGTAAGTGTAAGTAAACCCTGCCTTCACCTTTCTACCTCTGACCCGTTCCCGGCTCTCCTGCCTTGAGGCACTGTAGCACTGGGGGAGGGAGAGGCTTAAACTGTCTCAGGAACCAGAAGGCAGCCGGGAAGCACCCTCCCGCCCGCGCCGGCCTCTGCTCTCCTCCGGAGGAGAGGGGCAGGGTTAGCAGACCCTCTCCCACGAGAGAAGAGGGCATTGCAGAGCAGGCGAGTCTGTCACCACTGCGACACGGCGCAGGAGCTGAAGTGTGACCTGTAGAGTCCCTTCCGTGCTGCTGAATGTGCCCAAGGAAACGCGGGAAATTTATGCCAAGGTACCTCAGGCAAGCCGCAGCTTAAAATGGGCTCCTCCCGTACCGTTTCCCGGCTGTGAAAGTTCTTGGCTAGGTTCTTGAATAAAGTTCAGTGAGCAGTTCCTGGCAAATAGCTGTTCTGCACATTTTGCCAGCCTTTCAGTTTCCTAATTGGCAGTAAGTAGAGCCTGATTTTCTCAAATTTCCTCATTTTAGAAGCTCACAAGCAGCTCATTGCCAATTAAAGTTCAAGCTCTGTTGATTAATGTTTTAGTAACACTCATCCAATCAGTAAATGTGGCATGCCACATGACCTAGTAGACTTTTTTCTGTTGCAAATACCCAGATTTGCATCAATTCCTGAACATTCTGTCAAAATTAACTGTATCTCTACAGAGTCACTCAACTGCTTAATATCAAAGGGGAAGGGCAAGAACAGCTATTTAAAAATAAGTAAATAAGCAAATAGCTGTTTGCTTAAAGATCCAAGCTATTTTTGCTGTTTGCCTTGATATTTTAAATATAAGGATATCCGTGAGGAAGTCGAGAGCAACACACCTCCTGTAACATGGCAAGTTAAAGACTTTAAGGGGACAGTCAAAAAGCCAGTGGGCAGAAGGAGAAGTTGTTTAGAGATGACCAGCAGGAAAGAAAACAAGTCCACTGGTACAGTTTAACCCATAGCCATCTCTGGAGTGCAGAAACCCGAGTCGGTTTATCTGCTCAGAGAGGAACCTCTTCTGACGATGGGTGCCTTTAATGAAAAAAAAAGGCAGGACTGTTTATAAAGACAAGTGCCAGTAGCCAAATAGTCAGATACTTCACTGGGAAAGGCAAGATTCATCTTTGGCCTCAAAGGATACAAACCCCCATCCCTGTGTCACAGTCGCTCCCAAGACTACGCTATCATTTCCACCACCAGTGGGATGAAGGAAGCTATTTTGGGAGAGGATTTTGGCACAATCAGGCCAAAGTTAGTTGGTGTAAGGATGGATGTCCGTAGCAATTCGCTTAGGACTGTCTCTATGCACTGTTACAGCAAGGGCAGAAAGTTGTATACAGAAACAAGAGCGAAACGATGCATCCCCTCAATTTGCTGACCGAGGAGCCTGCTGAGGTTCTTCTTTCAAGGCACTTGCAATGCTTTTGCTGTTAGTACTGATAAGGAAGGAGAGTTATAGCTCAGCAGCAGCCACCCTAATTTCAGCTATTAGACTTTAATTTCTAGCTCCCCTCTGACGGGCGTACAAAAGTTTATTACAGCACCTGTTTGCAGAGTGAGCACTGAATCCCTTCTCCATTTTAACATGACGGGAATTTTCTGTGCAAAGAACCTTGCAATGAGAAGGATCAGCTTAAAGTCTGGCCTAATCCTACTTGGATTCAGACCGTTAAGAAGGGGAGGGGTGCATTTCATTCTCCAACATTCTTGGCTAAATGCCTGCTAAATCCCTGTTTGCCTTTCCAGATCCATTTAGCAGGTCAAGCACCTTCAGCGGCCTTGGGAACTTAGGCAGCAATGCCTTTGGAGGATTAGGCAGTCATGCTCTGAGTAAGTACTGGCTGGGTTACTGCAGACAAACATCCCTTCCAGAAAAGCCACATGCTAATATTTACAGCAGCTGGTGGTAGTTTTTAAAGAAGTTTAATTCCTAACCTCCATTCTCCTATCTGAAAACACTGCACCTAAGATCTCCAGGTCTCTGCGGTGGGAGCTTTTCTGCATGTCACAGACATCACTAGCTGTGCTCTGTGTCTCCTCGCCGCTGAAGGTTGGTACCTTGCGTGCTCCGAGAGGTGCTAGAGCTGCCAGCCCCACTGCACTCTGGGTCCCGACGGGCATCTGAAGTAACACCCTTCGACGGCGAAGACGCGCAGTGGAACAGCTATTGATAATGCTCCTAACTCAGCGTGTAGACTCCCTCTGTAACCATTGTCTGAAGTTTAAATTACCTGTATAAAATTATTTTACTTCAAAAACGTGTTACCTGTAGGCAAGACATGCTTGAGAGCCACACATAAGAGAGCATGCTTTTGCATCTCACGGTGCAACAGGAATCGGTTGAAGACTGATGGAGGAAAATCAAGTGACTGTTCTGAAAAGCCTACAGCCAAGCTCTGTTTTGATACACACACGTACATACCACCAAATAGTCTGGTTTCTTTAACAAAAACGTCCCCGAATCCTCAGCTGCAGGCAGCTGATGGCTTGTAACTACCCACAAATTAAAAGTTTCTGCCAGGGAGGGGAGCTGAGGAAGAATACTGCTTTTATGCTGGAACCCTTGCTGGGGTGGGGGGAGAAGAGGAGCTGGGCATTTTCAGTCATCTCTGAGTTACTCAGATGTATAGTGAAAGCTTCCTCTGCCGATAGCCTTAAAAGAGCTGGTGGAGCTTTCACCCGGTGTTGGAGGTATCTGCGTCCACCTGCTAGTAGCTCCCTCTCACCGTTAGCTCCATATTAAAAAGTCTTGAAAGGACAGTTCTGGTTGTGATTAGCATTGTGCAAAATGTTTATGTAATTACGTGCTTTGAGTTATTTTTAACTCTTCCTCCCCCTGCCCTATTCTAGCTCACAACAACATTTTTACTCACAAAGATGGCCCAAACCTGCAGAATTTCAATAATCCCCACGAGCCATGGAATAGACTCCATCGGACCCCACCGTCCTTCCCAACACCTCCACAGTGGCCCAAGCCCACTGATTCCGAGCGAAGCTCCTCAGTGACGAACCATGACAGAGACAGAGAGCGGGAGCGAGAGCCCGAGAAGAGGGATCTTTCTCTGAGTAAAGACGACAGAGACAAAGAGAGGTAAGCAGCGCGTGCTGTTGAGCACTTTCTTCTGGGTCTCTCTTTCCTTCATATTTTTTCCAATTTTTCTGATCTTAAAATCACCTTTAGAGAAAGATGTTGCTTGTCTCTGAGGCAGCTGGTAGGCCTCTCCCTCAGATAAGCACAAGTACTAGCAACACAAAAAAACCCTCTGTGCCTTTTACGATTTGTCCTCTGTGGAAATACGGTAAGCCAGTCTCTGCTGGTAGGTTAATAAAAAGCACCACGCTGAGGACATGAGCCTGTCGCTGTGTTTTCAGGGGATACTTGGCTGTTTTCAGTGCAGCTGCTTTAGGGTTGCTGTATATTCTGGAATCATGAAGGTAGTGTTATGGTGGGTCCTTTGGAGACAGTCGTAGTTCTCATTAATGTACAGATATGCTGGTAAATTCAAACGTTAGCTGGACATTAACAAGATAAAAATGCAAATGTCTGTATCTGGAGCAGTGTGCCTGCATCCAGTAGCAAAACTGATCTTAAAAAACGGCATTGTAGACAAACCCTTATTGGTGATGACAAAACTCTATCACCTGGGCTGTAGATAACTCATTAGCTTCCAGTTACGTGATTTTGAAGCTGTAAAGCCCTTTATATTTCAGAGCCCGGTTGTCTCCAACAGGCGACCGCTCTGTGGGCAGTATCAGCCTGCAAGCCTTGGTGTGTGCGTTTGACTAGTGATAAGGGGTGCATAGTTGGCCTGGCGTGCTTTTAATGAGTTCTTCAGGCAGTGTCTGTGAACAAGATGATCTGGAAGCAATAGGCTGAAAATCATCTTGCTTTAAATGTTAAATAGTCTGACACCCTTGCATGGATAGTCATTCAGGTGGAAGCTCCCTTCTTGGCTTTCGTGTAATTCATTTGCAAACCAAAGTTACGTTACTCTGAAGAGTGTTCGCACAGGGGTTCACATCTCCATTACATTTCTATTAATTCAGCTTAAGCTGTCCTCAGCATCCCTCTTTGGACATGGTTTTAATAAACCACATCCTTGACCAGCAATTGGGACTACCACAGAGGAAGAAATCTGGGTTAGCAAATGTAATCATAAGGGATAAATACTTACGGAACTCACCTCCAGTTTTCAGCACTCGGGTCTTACAGCTCTTAAAAGCAAACCCGGCATAAAACTGAGGCGTCGGTGAGCCTCTCAGCTGCGTAACGCAGTTCTCTCAATCACAGCGTCATACTTCGCATTTAAAGTGTCTGTTGTTCAGAGCAAAGTGCTCTTAAAAGGTGAGCGTTATTTATTCCCCTCTTCAAGAGGTGGGGGTAACTGTGGCTAGTCGACTGCCTCAGAGATAGAGGAGCAGTTAGAAATGCAGACCCCGTTCTCGTGCCGCTCTTTCTAAACCATGGACGTTGTCATCAAACCCCTTGCTCCTCACAGCAGGTCCTCCTGAAACGGAGGTCAATCACTCCGTTCCATGGCCTGTTGGGGATTTTTTCCCTTAAGCGCCTAGCTTACCTGCCAAAACTGCCAACAACAAAAACCCTCCTGCAGCTCCATGGGAAAATAAGCATCGTGTTACGGCTGCTTCCCGTCGACGAGGCTGTCTCACGAAGGAGCTGCATACGTTTCTGTAGGCTTCTGTTTTGTGTGCCTGGATCCATGGTTTAGGAAAGGAACAGGAGTTAAGAGTGTCACAGCCAAGCAGATCGTTGTCTGGCAGCAAGATGTACGTATAAACACACAATAAGCATCTTTTTAAAAAAATAAGCTGTCTAGAATTCTTCATTCCCCACATTTCTCAGCAAAGTGGTCTTTCTCTTAAGGTGAATATACAGTTCTTTCAAACGCATCCCCAATTTAGTCCCCAGATTTGCGCACATTTAACATTTTTTTCTATGCGGTATGTAAAGGCAGGTAGTGCATATCTTTTAGCGTAGCATCACAGCTATAGCTGATGCTATCAGAGCTTTTCAGGTCATTTCCTAAGCCATCTCTAATTACACAAGTAGACACAGCACCATGCGTGTCCAGCATCACGTGTATGTTTGTTCACCCAAAACCAAGAAGGATGTGTGTTCCCTCTTTTACAGAGACCTCATGGATAAAAACAGACATTCAAACAGATCCTCACCGGCATCGGCTCCAGTGACACATCAGATAAGCAATCTCATCCGCAGCAACAGCCAAACCTCCAGTGATCCCATCAGGCAGGTTAGCCTCGGTGAAAGGGAAAGGTCCAAAGAAGCCGAGCGGGAGCACCCTGACCGGCTGAGAGAGCCGCCCATAGCTGAACACAAGATCAAAGAGAGCCGTTCCCCAGTGAAGGAAACTCCAAGCCATGATAAGAGACCCTCTGAGGACAACACAAAGCCAGTAATCCAGTCTGTATCCCCATACAGCAAACCTGCACTAAGTGAGAGCTTGAAGCTTACCAACCTGATGAGCAAGGACATGGAGAGAAAGGCAGAGCTTCCCAGCGACCTCCAGAAGATCAAGAATGACATCAAAGTGAAAGAGGAGAGGAAGGAAGACAGTGACGTGCTGGTGGTAGGGTCTGAGCCTTCGCAGCACTCCCGATCAGTGGAGCATCCCCCGCCACCTACTTTGCATGGATTATCATTGCCTCACTCGATGGCCGCCTCTATGCCCATCTCCATGGGCAGCGTGCACCAGATGAACAACATGAATGTTCTGGACCGCAGCAGAATGATGACCCCGCTCATAGGCATGAATCCTCTGTCGGGAAGAGAGAGGCTGCCACATCCCGGCTTTTCTTGGGACCCAATGAGGGACCCGTTGCGGGATGCCTACCGGAGCTTAGACCTGCACCGTCGAATGGACTTCCAGCTCCGGACGGATCCCATCCATAGGTTCCCTACCACCTCTGGATTTTACGACCACGAGCGTTCTTATAGAGACAGGGAGCCACACGACTATAACCATGAAAACCTTCTTGAAGCCCGCCGAGAGCAGGAGCGGTTGCGGCAAGTGGAGGAAAGAGAGCGCTTGCACTTACGGGAAGAATTTGAGCGTGCCAGAATGCACCACTTGCACTCATCCCCCATCGAAAGTCACCTGGCACACGTGCCATCCTTCATGCCTCATTTAAGCGGGATGCATTACCCCAGACTGAGTCCATCCACTGCCATGCACAACGGGATCTTAAACAGGAACCCGCCGACCGCGGCGCTGAGCGCCCCGCCGCCTCTCGTACCAGCGAGCAGCACCAGACCTGCCTCCCCACGCAGGACTACTCCACTCACAAACTCAGAGTCCAGGGACTACTCCCCCTCTAGGAACCCCAAAGAAGTAGAGGCACGATAGTCCCCAACATTGGATTTTAAACTCGCCTGTATATAAAACAAACAAACAAACGAAAAAAGAAAAAAAAACAAACAGGAGAAAAAAAAACAAAACAAAAAAAACCCACAAAAAAACAAACCTTTTACAAAATGCACTGCTGTAAACTTTTTTTTTTAATGTAAAATTTGTAGAAGTTAAGCACATTTCCATAAATAACGGGGTCGGGGATGCAGACTTTCCAACAAGAAGGTTGCTGAGAATGGGAATTTAATATATAGGTATTGATTTTTGGTTTCATTTTTTGTTCCTGTGCTAAAAAAAAAAAAGAGTTAAAAATATCAAGTTTGTACATTTTTTCCCAAATGTGAGAAACATTTTTAATGGATTTGTATTTTTTTTAATTTTGTGCTCTTTATTCACTTAAAAAAAGAAGAAATTTTGCTTTTGTTTTTAGTTAAATTTGCATCTTAAAGGCCTCAGATCCTTAAGAAAAAAAATACCCAGGGTTTCTTAAAAGTATTATTTATGGAAATACTGTAGTTTTACAGTCCACTGTGAGGTTCCCTTCTGAGGCCAATTGATCGCTTACCTTGGTACTTTGGAACCGAAGTTACAGATATATATTAAAATATTAATAATAATAATAATGTACAAAACTGTTTGTTTTTTGCCTTATTATATTATGCAGAAATTTAAGAGGAATTTTTTTTGACTTCTTGTTTTAAACAAACGAAAAAAAAAACAAAGAAAACAAACTGTAAATATTCTGTTAATATAAATGTACACCAATATTAAATTCTTAACATAGGTAGACTTTATAAAAATGGTTTCTAGAACCACTCTGGTTATTTGTTAACATGGTTACAACTCATACTCTTGTCACAGTCGGAAATTCACACTCAGAAAGCTAAGTACGGCATATATACTTCAACTATGCAAGAACTCGGAGGCAGGTCGTAGTGGATGTTGGGGGGAGGAAGGTTTAAAAAAAAAAAAACCCAAAAACAACCAACTCGCAACTATGGAGACAGAATGGAAATGGCATGTGAACAGGAAGAAGGATGCTTGTGTTTAACAAAAAAAAAAAAAAAAAAGAGAGACTGAGGTTTTTTGTACAAACACAAGGGACAGTTCGTCAAGGAAAGAGAGAGACACACGCTCCTGGAAGGGAATTTTGGTTTCCTACTTTTCAAGCTGGCAAAAGCAGATGGAACTGGCACAGTACCATGCGGCAGACCCTTTCCTTATTTTTTTTTTTCCTTTTTTTTTTCTCTTTTTTTGTGTTGTGGGCAGGATCGCTGGCAAGCAAGGACAATTTTCCGTGGACCCCTTGTGCTAATTGTGCAGTGTTCTTATTGGAATCTGTATACAAGACAAAGTAGAATTTTAGGAGTGCAAAAAAAAAAGTCTAATGGTTGATTAAAAAAAAAAAAAGAAATTCTGATATATTATCTATAGTACATGAAGACCATAAGCAAATGTTTGTTTCAGTGTGGTTCTGCCTTGAACTGCTTTTTGGCATGATTTATTTTTTATTTCCAATTTTACTTTTCATCCATATGTAAATTTTGCCATGTTTTACTTGCTGTACCATCCCCCCTCCCTTATTTTATTTTTCAGTGTCCATGTTTTATATATC